CGTGCGGCGTCGGATTCCGGCGACGTCGGCGGCGATGGAAAGCTCTCGTCGAGACGGTCGTCTGGGTATACTGTACGTCTCAATCGGACTTCCGGTTAGTTCTGTAGGTCAAAATCAATTTCGTCTCGGTTTACCTACAGATCTTCTACTGTATTACTCAATACACCCTTCTTCAACTTGTACCAGTGGAGCAACAAGAAGAAGATAAAGCTCGAATGAGATCTAGAGAGAGAGATGGTTTCACGTGAGAATGAGACTTCTATTCTCTTCTCATGAGCTTAATGATGTATATATAGAGCTACAGTAGGGACCCTAAGGAGATTAGGAAAAGGGCTCCTTAATTAATTAGACTAACTGTGGGCCAAACCCACTCCTCTAATTAATTAAATAATATTAATGGGCCACCAACATTATATTATTGCACTCCCTTTCCCTAGCCCAAATTACATTTGAGACTCCAATAATAATTACTCGATTTACCTCCCCACGTTTAAGATATAATGTCCATTAATTAATTCGATTACTGACAATCAAGAATTAATTAATTTATTATTATTTCACCGAAGCTAGCGCTCGTTCATCACATTCTTATTATGCCGGAATTTAATCCACCTGCAGGGTTTAGCATAACAATCCTTCATGAACTCACTCCGGGGACATCATCAAACTAACGCACATGGTGACCGTAAATATCCTAACAGCACATCCTATATATAATAATATTACCCAAAACAGTAGGAATATTAATCCAGCGAACTGAACCTCACCCATGTGAATCAAAGTAATATATATTATATATATCTGCCTGTTTAATATCTTACGGGTTAAGAGAACGCAGTAATTAACCGAGGCCTAGTTCATTTACGACGATCAGTATAAAATGAACTTCTCCTCTCTGGGATCCTGTTCAATACATAAATGTACTAGTGCAACTAATCAGTCAAGACAAACTGTACAGTTGACACTACAACCGTTCGGATGGGGTGTTCATGTCCATCTAGGTTGTGAACAACTATTCTTGTTCGCAAGTGACTGATAGAGTGATCTTCGGTTCGCCCGATGACGACCCACCCTATCTAAGTGCAGAACAACAGAACGTAGAACTTGTTTAATCTAACATGATTCTCATTCATAAAGGGTAAATGTATAATATCATGCAAAGCCAAGCTTTCAGTATATAACACTAACATTCTCATGTCGGTAAATAACGCAAAACAAGTCGGAATAAGGTGAAACAACAAACGACATCAGCAATCATTTAAAAAGCTTCAAATACTTACTGATGTCGGGGGCCTCACTGTTGATATCAAATCCAGTAATCAGAATTAAAGTACCACAAAGTCGGAACATATTAGAGCGAATTACCGACTTCCTAAGAATTGCCGATTTCCGAAAGATCCAACTTTCGACAAAACCTTCACAAGGATCAAAACCGACATCTGAAATCAACGTAAGTAAACCGACTTCAAGTCAACCGACTACCATAAAGTTTGAGCATTCCAAAACAAAAAGTAATCATTAGAAGCATCTGATTGGACCAACGAAACAAAAAGGCAATCATTGATGTTTCCCGCCGCCTCAAAACAAAGCAGCTCAATATTAAATGCATCTCTATCCATTTCGAGGAAGAAGACAAAAGCCACCGTACTATAAATAGCAGAATTTATAATAGTACGAGGATCTGATCTTTTCTCGATCACATGGTACATGAAAAAAAGACAATCTCGGGTTTCAGCTCAAAACCGACTTCTGTACTCTTGTGAACATAATCAATAAAATCCAATTAAACTTTTATCTTCATTTTCTGGATATCAACTGTACTTAATTTTAAGTTGTTAATTCAAGACCGCAACAATACATTTGATAATATAGAGTGTAAATTCCTTTTAAAAAAATGTGATTGGTTAAGAATGATTGGATTTATTTTTGGATAACTTGTATCCAAGCATCCTCTTTGTCTCTACCATCTTTTCTATTTTGGATCTACGTGTTCTTGATTCCGGTGCCCTCGTCTCCGACTTGGGCTTAGGAAGGCTATTTCTCGCCGCTCCACCTGCTGTCGAAAGAGAAGGCCAGCGGCGCCGCTGTGTCGCCCTTCTTTGGCACGGATTAGGGAAGTAGCTCAGCCTCTCCGCCCTTCTTCGACACGATTTCTCAACGCTTTTTTTTTTTTCCCATTTTTTTCTTTAGGATTGGCGGCAATTGGGATCTAGCTTCCGAGCTCAAATATGTTGTTGATTCCCCCTTCGTGTGCTCGGGTTAGGCGTAGTTGTTCGGACCGTGCCCCTTATGCCTTATTATTTTCCCGATTGGCGACTTCGGGTTCTCCAATGTAGACTAAGGCTCTCCTTATTGCCGGTTCTATCTAGCCAATAAGTGGAGTTTTTAGTTCTGGAGTCTATATCTATAGATCCCTTAGGTTCTGGTCGTGGGTTGCTCTGTTGTGGGTTTGGCTAGTCGGGTATGCCGTGGTTGGGCGCGGGTTGCTCGTGTTGTGTATTAGTGTATTGATAACTTATATGTGTGTTTAGTTTGTTTGTGTGTTATTCTCTATTTATTAGAGTAGATTATTTACTAGTTGGAGTTATAATCGCCCCTCGTGGGTGTTTTCTCTTTTGTGTGGAAGTAGACGTCCATCTTACGGTTTCAGCCCCCCTTCTCCGGATCGCTACCGGTAGATTGGTGCCCTCTTCCGAGTTTAGTTTTAATCTAGGACACTAGTGTTAGTGTTCCTTAATCCCTTTGATTGCAATGTGTGGTTGGCAAATTTGACTAGTTAGCCTGTGATCTGTATCGGGTTCATCCCCTTTTGAGTAATGCAATCTAGCGTTTCGAAAAAAAAAAGCAAGAGAAAGAGAAAAGTGGAAAAGGTGAGAGATCCATGGAGGTGAGAATAAAAAACACCTTATACAATTATCTAATCACACTTCATATGTGTGGTGCTAAATTTTTTAATTTTTTTCTTTTTTTTCTTTTGGTGGGGGACTAAGGCCAGATCGCTAACATGTATATAATCAAAATTCTAATAGGGCAAAAAAATCACAGGTCTACACATGTCCAAACATGAACCGTAAACAAAAACGAGAAAAAGGAAAAATAACAACCAAAATGAAAAGTTTGAAGCTGGGCTGACAGGTGCCCCGACAAATAGTATGCTCCACAAAGTGGATCGAAGCACAAAAATACAGGACGACTACTAGAATCTAAACGAGGGGTGACCAACTTGATCGATCCGCACAAGAGTACGGAGGCGGAGAGGGGCGTCATCTGGGTAGAAAGAGCGCCTCTGTGGGATGAATGCACCTAGGTTGACCAGGTAGTCAGCGGGTCAATTCATTTCGTGGAAGATGTGCAAGATCCGGTAGCGAACCAACTGAAGTGTGGATCTGATGCGCATAAGCGGGTGCTGAATGCCACGAGCCCTGGTGGCCCGAGGTCAAAAAGGGTGGCGACAGCGGCGACATCCAGCTTAATCCAAATGTGAATAGAGATAGAGTCTTCAATCTGAAGACCGACCTGAAGCACCTGAACCTCCGCATCGTCTCTCGATGAAGGCTAAAGAGGGGCGTGGAAGGCGGTAATAAGAGCTCTTATGTGATCCCTAATTAGGCCCCGCCACTGGCGGCTCCGGTAAGTCGGTCGAAAGATCCTTCAGTGTTTAGTGCTTAATAAGGGAAAGTCGGGTCTCAGCCAAACAACGACTCTGGGGCATGGGGGCTGGACAGGCGGCAGCGGAGATGATACAAAATTGGGGGGGGG